CCCGTGTCCCCGCAGCTGCTCCGGGACAAGTTCCGGGAGTTCTCACGGGACACGGGCGGGCTGGGCCAGGAGCGGGTGGACGCGGCCAACGCGGCGGCGGCGGCGCTGATCGCCGGGGGCCACCCCGAGCGCGCGGCAGTGGCCCAGTGGCAAGCGGGGCTCAACGAGGCGTGGGCGGAGCTGCTGGAGCTCGTGGCCACCCGGGCGCAGGAGCTGGCGGCCGCGCACGACCTGCAGCGCTTCCGCCGCGACGCCCGGCAGGTGCTGGCGCAGCTCCGCGACAAAGCCCGGCAGGTGCCCGAGGAGCTGGGGCGGGACCTGCGGGCGGCCGAGGGGCTGGAGAGACAGCACCGCACCTTCGAGCACGACGTGCAGGCCCTGAGCGCGCAGGTGAGGGGACAGCGACAGGTCAGGGGACAGGGGACAGGTGAGGGGACAGGGACAGGGGAGTGGGACAGGGACAGGGGAGGGGCAAGTGAGGGCAGGAGAACAGGTGAGGGGACAGCGACAGGGACAGGGGACAGGGGACAGGGGACTGGGACAGGTGAGGGGACAGGGACAGGGGAGGGGCAAGTGAGGGCAGGAGAACAGGTGAGGGGCAGGGACAGGTGAGGGGACAGGTGAGGGGTGCTGTGGTGCAGGAGGTGGCTGTGAGTGGGATATGTCGCCTGTCCTATGTCACACCTGTCCCCAGGTGACGGCTGTCCAGGAGGCCGCAGGGCGCCTGTCACACCTGTCACACCTGTCCCCTGTCACACCTGTCACACCTGTCCCATGTCACACCTGTTACACCTGTCACACCTGTCCCCAGGTGACGGCTGTCCAGGAGGCCGCAGGCCGCCTGGCCGCGGCGTACGCGGGCCCGCGGGCGGAGGAGCTGCGGGCGCAGGAGGGCGCGGTGGCTGCGGCCTGGGCCGAGCTCCGCGGGCGCTGCCAGCGCCGCCGCCGCCTGCTCGGGGACACCGTGGAGCAGTTCCGGTTCCTCCGCGCCGCCCGCGACCTCCGGCTCTGGATGGACGGGATGCACCTGCAGCTGCAGGCCCGCGAGAGGCCCAGGTGGGACACGGGGGGACACCGGGGACACGGGGACACAACTGGGACACGGGGGGGACACAGGGGGGACACACAGGGACACACAGGGACATGGGGACAGCCCTGGGGACACACAGGGACACACAGGGACACACATGAGAACAGCCCCGGGGACATGGGGACACAACTGGGGACACAGGGACAGTCCTGGGGACACACAGGGACACACAGGGACACACAGGGACATGGGGACAGCCCTGGGGACACACAGGGACACACAGGGACACTGGGACAGCCCTGGGGACACACAGGGACACACAGGGACACACAGGGACACGGGGACAGCCCTGGGGACACACACAGGGACACACAGGGACACGGGGACAGCCCTGGGGACACACAGGGACACACAGGGACACGGGGACAGCCCTGGGGACACACAGGGACACACAGGGACACACAGGGACACTGGGACAGCCCTGGGGACATTGTGACATCTCAAGGACACCCCAGGTGACCCCAGCACCACCCTGGTGGCCCAGCCCTGCCCACCGTGGCCAGCTGGAGCACGGGTGTCCCCGTGGTGACCGCCGGTGTCCCTGTCCCCTGGCAGGGATGTCACCGCGGCCGAGCTGCTGATCCAGCAGCACCAGGGGCTGCGGGCGGAGCTGGAGGCGCGCGAAGGCTCCTTCGGGGCCTGCGTGGCCGCGGCCACCGCGCTGCTGCAGCGTGGCCACCACGACGCCGACAAGGTGGGACACGCCTGCCACCGTGTCACCCTGTCACCGTGTCCTCATCCCCCTGTCACCACCCTTGTCACAGTCCCCAAGTCCCCGGCCCCACGTTCCTCATCCAAATCCTCGTGTCCCTGCCGCTGTCCCCATCCCAGGTCCCCTCGTGTCCCCGTCGCTGTCCCCGTGTCCCAACCCCAGCCCTGTATCTCTGTCCCCATCCTGTCCCCAAGCGTGTCCCTGTCCCCGTGTCCCCCCCAGCTGTCCCAGGAGCTGGCCGAGCTCCAGGAGCGCCGCAGGGACATCGGGGAGCGCTGGCAGGACAAGCTGGAGTGGCTGCAGACTGGTGAGAACTGGGGGGACCACGTGTCCCCCTCGTGTCCCTTCATGTCCCTCCGTGTCCCCTGCGCCAGCCTCAGGTGCTGCCCCCACCCAGAAGGCGCCAACTGAGGGGTCCCTGTGCCCCGTGTCCCCTCTCAGTGCCCAGGACAGGGGACAGGGGTGGCAGAGGGGTGTCCCTGTGTCCCCTCTCAGTGCCCAGAGGTGGCTCAGGGGTGGCAGAGGGGGTCCCCATGTCCCCTCTCAGCACCCAGGACAGGAGTGGCAGAGGGGTGTCCCTGTGTCCCCTCTCAGTGCCCAGAGGTGGCTCAGGGGTGGCAGAGGGGGTCCCCATGTCCCCTCTCAGCACCCAGGACAGGAGTGGCAGAGGGGTGTCCCTGTGTCCCCTCTCAGTGCCCAGAGGTGGCTCAGGGGTGGCAGACGGGTGTCCCCATGTCCCCTCTCAGTGCCCAGAGGTGGCTCAGGGGTGGCAGAGGGGGTCCCCATGTCCCCTCTCAGTGCCCAGAGGTGGCTCAGGGGTGGCAGAGGGGTGTCCCTGCCCCCCGGTGTCCCCCCTGGTGACCGTCCCCGTGTCCCCAGTGCTGGAGGTGCTGGTGTTTGGGCGCGACGCGGCCACGGCCGAGGCCTGGCTGGCCAGCAGGGAGCCCCTGGCCCGCGCCCCCGAGCTGGGCTCCAGCCTGGCCGAGGCCGAGACCCTCCTCAAACGCCACCAGAGCTTCCAAAAGGCTGCGGCCGCCTGGGACGAGAGATTCGCTGCCCTGAGCCGCCTCACCACGGTGGGGACACGGGGACATGGGGGGGAATGGGGGGACATGGGGGGGAATGGGGAGGGGGACATGAGGGGGAATGGGGGGACATGGGGGGGAATGGGGAGGGGGACATGGGGACCCTGGGGACATTGGGGACATGAGGGGAAATGGGGAGGGGGACATGGGGACCCTGGGGACATTGGGGACATGGGAGGATATGGGGGGAAATGGGGAGGGGGACATGGGGGGGAAATGAGGGGAAATGGGGGGAAATGGGGAGGGGGACATGGGGACCCTGGGGACATTGGGGACATGAGGGGAAATCGGGAGGGGAATACGAGGGGGGAGAAGGGGGGCACAGGGACATGGCAAAGACAAGGGGACGGCTGTGACACCGAGGGGACAGAGCGTGGGAGGGGGTCCCTGTGTCACCACCCCACCCTGGGGGGGGTTCCCATGGGACCCCTGTGTGTCCCCCCATTGTCACCGGGCTGTCCCTGACCCCCCTCGATCCCCCCAGCTGGAGGAGAAGGAGCGGCGGCGGCGCCAGGAGGAGGAGGAGGAGGCGAGGAAGCTGCAGCCCCCCGAGCCCCCCCCGGCCCAGGCCGAAGTCGGGGGGAGCCCCCCGGTGGTGCCCCCCGAGAGGCAGG